CGGGGATCTGTGAAGCTAGAGAGCTGAAATCTTAGGGGGTGTTCCCTGTCCAAATGGGTATTAACGGGTTCAAATCCTGCCCGCGGGTAAGAGTGGCACCTACGTACAGGCCCGTGAAGGTTCCTTCCGGGTAAGTTACTTACTCGAGAACGTGAGAAGCTAGAAGACTGGAGTTTTGAGGGGATGTTTCCTGACAGTTCTGGCGGCCAGTCTGAAACTCTTTCAACTGGAAGCATCTGTCGAAAAAACCGATGCTGGTAGCGACAAAAATTGCGGGGAACTTTGCAAAAAACGCATCTTTGCACGGGCAGCCCGTGCGTAGGCCAATTATTAAATCCTGAGTTGCATACCTCAAGTTAGTACCCACTGCCTGATTGATGTATGCGCTCCTGCATGCAGTCTTTAATAGTGTATTTTTTGGTGAAAAAAAAATAGGCTTAGTATAGATGTTTCAGTTGCACGCAGTGTTTGACTGGTTGGAAACGCGAGAAATGCGATCTGATCGATTGTGTACATGGAGAGCCGGATAACTCAGAACAAAAGTGCATTTGCGAGCGACCGTACAGTGGTCAGTTTTGCGAAGCCCTGCAAACTGCTGACGTTTATTCCTATTACAACCACAAGGTACTGTTATTTGTACAGTATTTTTAAAATTCCATGCATATCAGGTACAAATAAAATTTTCATCTTTCAGGTCTAGGTAAGGGTAAGTACCCATCGCCTGTTCGATTACCATCGCCCCCAATTAGTACCCATCGCCTCCAGTTAAGCCTTATAGCTAAGAGTAGGTACCCATCGCTTCCAGTTAGTACCCATCGCCTGTTCAGTTTATGAGCAGCCCAAGTGGTCGTTCACTTACTCACCTGTGTCACTCATTAATACACAATCGTCCATCGGTTGTTGACAAGGCAATTGTGCTGATATTGTAAGTCAGAGCACAAAAGCAGTTGCAGGTTTGTATTTTTTTGCATAATCAGCAACTGTAATTTTGAAATTCTAGCACTATATCTTTTGCGGATTATGGTTGATTAAATCCCGGCAACTATACTCATGCAAGCGTATGCGAGTATAGTTACCAAACTTAGGGAAAAGCCTTCCAATGGGCAAAGAATACCGGGGTCGCTCAGGTAACCAAAATAAGTAAAATTTATGTGAATAGCCAAAGTGTGCCAAGAAAGAGTTGCTTTTGTTGATACAAAAAATACTAAGGCCGCTCGTCCGGAAGACAATCAGTAACTTCAGTTCTCGTTTCTTAAAAAACTTGGACTACTGACTGCTTGGTTTTTTTTGTTTAGGTGGTAGCGCTTGGACCAATTGGTGCGCTATCAATAATACCGCTCCTGATTATTTTATACGGATGCGAACGGACAGAAAAATTTCGACAAATTCGACGTGTTGAAAAGCAACTGTACGTACAAAATATCGTTGCCAACCGCCGTAATATATCCACACTGCTTACTTCCAAAACCAAAACAATAAACGCTTAGCTGGAGCTGGCTCAGCAATTTTAAAAATATACAATGCAAAAAAAGCAGGGAGAAATTGCCAACGCTGTTGAACCACTGTGTGGAATTAAATGGAACAGAAACGCTCAAAATAGAGAAGAATGGAGAAGTTGGCAGCTGCAATAGTGGCAAGAAGAAATGTGATGACAGTGAGCTGAGCAGAATTTCAAACTTGTAGTGTAGCGGCTCTCCTTCTCTTCTGTCTTGCACTTTAACAGTTCAAATCAATTGCCTATTTCATCGTTGCGTTTCTTTTCATCGCTGATGCAGCTAGCAATTTCTCCATTCTCTCTCTAAAGCCTCTGTGTCTTTATAATCCAAAAAAAAGCCATAAAAGTGTTGAAACAGATCTTTATATCCAAAAGTTGAATAATCCGAAAAGTTGATCCAAAGTTGAAGCAGTTTATAATCCAAAAAAAAGTTGAATCAGATCTTTCTATAGCAGTGCTAAACTTTTTTTTCAACATTGCATAGGTACCATTCAATAATCCGCTTTTGTTGTAATCCACTCTTTATGTACGACTGGCCCAACACTTCTTCCTGGTAGTATATTGCCCATACGAGCAAAACGGCATTCAATAATCCGATTTAGCCGTTTATTGTCTTCCAATCTTTCTGCATGTCTAGACTTACATTCTTCCTGGTATATTGCTTATATGAACAAAATGATTTATTACATTTTGAGTGAATTGTGATGCAGTCTTTTTGTTTCATGTTTCTTTGGACATATCAAAATAAATTTTTTTACACGATGTAAAATTTTTTCCACTGTGTTCATTCAGTTTCCCGTTGGTAGTGCTAGCACTTGAATATCTTTGGAATATAGGTTAACAGATGCTGCAGTGAAATATTCTTGGAGCAAAAGTGATTTCACGTTTTTGCACGTGAGCGATTTCTGCAGCTCGCACTACAGAACCTATTGTGCCCCAGCAAGCGACTTGCTGACTTTCATGAGTTTCAGTGCAAAAACTTTTTTTTGGCTTCAGGGGAAATATGTTCTTTTTTTTTGCAGCGATTTTGAGGATAATTAAATTGCAGTGAGTTACAGAAATTTAACTTTTTTATCAAAATTAAAACTATTGAAAGTGCACGAGAATGCGATAATAATTACAACTTCCGCTGATGCATGGCTTATCTTTGTTTGCGAGAAAACTCAATTTCCATGCATTCAATCCACACCTCTTTTTGCTCATTTTGCATCCTACAATGAAATTTATTCGCTCTCAGCTTCACCTAAGCGTCAGCTTCATAAAAAGTAAAATTCCCTATTTACAGTAAGTTTTTATAGGACAAATTCCACTTGCGTAGGCTCGGTTTTTTTTCTTGTTTTTGTTTTTTTTTTTTTTGCTTTTATCCATAGGTCCAGATCTTCTTTTTTTTTTACTTTGCTTTTTTGTTTTTATTCATAGGCTCGGATTTGCTTTAATTGGTTTTTCTTTGTAGCACTATGTTGCCTCTTCCTCTTTACTGCTGCCTCCAGTTCTTGCCACTAACTCCTGGTTTCGATCCTCGTTCCCCTTCTGTATCATGTCCCCAAATCTCGCCTGCAAAGCAAAATCTGAGCTCTTCTTCATCCGCGCTATAAGAGCACTCTGGAAGCAAGCAGTACTTCGGCCTTTTCCTTACCCAGGTATCCACGGCGGAAAAACCAGCAGCACACTTTTTCTTCCTTTTCATCCGTCATTTCCTCTCTCCTTCCGCCCTTTCACCCCCCAAATGCACAATGAGATAACCAACCGACAAGGAATCTACACCATATAACCATTAAATCCTCCTGTCCCGGCCCTTCTCCCTTGTTTCGAACGAAATCCGCAGAACACCACCCCTTCTCAAATTCCACACTCAAGATCCCGCCGCTCGCGACGTCGGGTAACCTTACCCGATGTCGCCAGAAAAAATTTTTCGCAAATCGTGTATGACACCGGCCGAGCCGAGTTTTAGTAATTACCTTCACACTAATGGCTCACTACGTTAAAAGTGTCAGGGTTTAATTTGGTAGGGTTTTATTTGTGCCAGACGTGAGGTCGCTGTCCTTTGTTAAGGTGATGGTCAATCACGGATAACGTTGCATGCCTCCTTACTGATTATTTTGCGGGTTTTTTGTGCCTCAGTTTTTGACATAAGCGCATCAAATTGCTAATAAATTATGGCCTTCGTAACCTTAGAGTACGTGGACGGTCCAAAGAAATCAAAATTGCTAAGCTGATCATTGTAGCATGCAAGTAATGTTAAGAACTTTAGGAGGGTAGGCATAGTGCGGACTGTGTATGGAACCGTACAGTTTAGCCTATTTCCCTCCTCTCACTAATCCTTAACACTTCGACCTACTTCTCTCCACTCACTAATTTCTAACGGTTCCACCAAATTCTAAATAATTTTGTTTTCTCACTTACTAACTACCTTGCTCTCCTTTTTCCTCCATTAATTTTCCCTATATAAGCCCCTTCCAAAAACCCAGGTACTCACTCAGTCTCGGGAACCAACGCGCGTCACTGGTCTGCCACGACGTCCTGCCCCAACTAACGCTACTAACTGGCCGCCTTGACACTGCTAGCGTCCCCCATTCGGCTAAATAGCTTGTGCGGTGCCTCGGCCCGTCTTTTTATTGAAGTGTAGCTTTTATCGGGGAATAAAGTGCTGGCGCACTTCGCTGTCTTCCGCTGCTGCAGTCAAAGACCACGTGAGGACCTAACACTGATCCTTGTATTTCAGCGCGTGAAAAGGTTTCGTTTTTGGCGTCAAACAAAGTTGTACTAGAGAAATTCGAGTTTTTTTCAGGCTTGGCGTATGACAATATTTAATTTTTATTTATTCAATCGTGATGGCCTATGCGTTGTTTACAAAGAATGGAAACGGGACAAGAAAGCTGCAATGTCCAGTGAAGAGGTATGTGTTGTCCGGCTTGAATTCTAGAGACATTGCGAAGTGTGTTTGTGTATGTGTGTGTATGTGAGTGCATGTATGTATGTATGTATGTATGTATGTATATATGTATGTATGTATGCATATATGTATGTATGTATATATGTATTTATGTATATATGTATGTATATATGTATGTATGTATATATGTATGTATGTATATATGTATGTATGTA